CCAGTCACCGGTCGTCCCGGCAAACTGCTCTGCTGTCCGCCTGCGCTTGCTGGTTGTCCCTTGCAAGCTGCTCTGCTAGTAGCCCAGCAGCTTAGCACCAGGCTCCCCTCAGCAATAGTGATTTCAGCTGCCAGTCTCCCCTCAGCAACAGTGATTTCAGCTCTCATCCGCAGCACAGCACAGCACCAGGCTGCCCCCAGCACACAGTGATTTCAGCTCATAACAGAGGAACCTTAGCACTAGTGCACCACTAGCCCACAGTGAAGTTAACTCTACAGCTCACAACTAGACTCCTAACAGAAACCAAATTAACTCTGATATTCCACAGTGTAGAGAATGCAATCAGTGTTGTCTAGGCCCTCAGACAAAGGCCGGCCGGCCCCCAAAGATCTATCCCCATCCTCTCTGAATTTGACTGGGTTTGGAACCAATGCCCCCTGTCTAGCGAGTGCTACTTAGTTTATGGTGAATCCCTCTGTCATAAACAGTTCCACCAGTCCATTGTCCTTGATTCGCATAATCAGGGTAACAACACTTTTATCCCCCCTGCCTCAATAACAGAGAGACTGGGGATCCCACAGTGGCCAAAGTGACCATTTGGGCTGCTGTGAGCACATACTAGACAGGGTGGGTGTGTCTATGCAAATTGGGCTCAGCCCCTGAAGTCTCTTTGTACCACTTGCCACAGTTCACCACCAGATGTCAGGATAGAGTTTACCCTGACCCCGCTTACATATCTCACAAGAATGCCACAAAGGCTACATCTACACTGGCCCCTTTTTCGAAAGGGGCATGCTAATTTTAAACTTCGGAATAGGGAAATCTGCGGGGGATTTAAATATCCCCCGCGGGATTTAAATAAAGATGTCCGCCACTTTTTTCCGGCTTTTCCCTACTTTGAAGTAGGAATAAGAGCTCCTCCGGAATAGGGCTTTATTCCGGAGGATCGGGCCAGCCTAGACGCTTTTTTCCGGCTTGGGGAAAAGCCGGAAAAAAGCGGCGGGCATCTTTATTTAAATCCCGCGGGGGATATTTAAATCCCCCGCGGATTTCCCTATTACGATCGCTGAAATTAACATGCCCCTTCCGGAAAAGGGGCCAGTGTAGACGAGCCCATGCAGAATCACCAGGTTTGTGTCTTGCTCCACTTAAGTAATCAGATTATCTCTGCTACACGCAGTGATGCTGGGAGACATAATTGAAGTGACAGACCTTTCTAAATCCTACAAGATTAAATGAGGTTGTTCCAGGATGAGCGGAACTCTGAAATGTAACAACCAAACAAAGGTGCCTGGCGACCATCTAGCATCACAGCCAACTAAATAATGCCTAAGTCAAAAATGGCAGAGTCAGACAAATGGCAATCGGGGCTTTTTTGTGGAAAAGTGCGTCTAGATTGGCACGGACGCTTTTCTGCAAAAAGTGCTTTTGTGGAAAAGCGGCTGTGCCAATCTAGATGCTCTGTTACGAAAATGCTTTTAACGGAAAACTTTTCAGTTAAAAGCATTTCTGGAAAATCCTGCCAGTCTAGACATAGCTCATGTGTTTGTTTAGACCTAGGTTCAGGGTGTTACGTTTGCATATAAATACCAGCTCAGCAGTTTCTCTCTGCAGTCTGTTTCTGAAGTTTTTCTGTCTGTGAATGGCAAATTGCACGTTTGAAACTGCGTGCCCAGGGAGGTTCAAGTGCCTCCTCTCCACACTGGCTTTTTGGTGATACCATTCTTAGTGTGTGATTTGTGTCCATTTAGTCTTTGGAATAGAGACCATCTAGTTCCGTGGTCCCCAACACGGTGCCCGCGGGCGCCATGGCGCCCGCGGGCACCGTGTTGGGGACCACGGAACTAGATGGTCTCTATTCCAAAGACTAAATGGACACAAATCACACACTAAGAATGGTATCACCAAAAAGCCAGTGTGGAGAGGAGGCACTTGAACCTCCCTGGGCACGCAGTTTCAAACGTGCAATTTGCCATTCACAGACAGAAAAACTTCAGAAACAGACTGCAGAGAGAAACTGCTGAGCTGGTATTTATATGCAAACGTAACACCCTGAACCTAGGTCTAAACAAACACATGAGCTATGTCTAGACTGGCAGGATTTTCCAGAAATGCTTTTAACTGAAAAGTTTTCCGTTAAAAGCATTTTCGTAACAGAGCATCTAGATTGGCACAGCCGCTTTTCCACAAAAGCACTTTTTGCAGAAAAGCGTCCGTGCCAATCTAGACGCACTTTTCCACAAAAAAGCCCCGATTGCCATTTTCGCGATCGGGGCTTTTTTGTGGAAAACAAATCAGAGCTGTCTACACTGACCCTTTTGCGCAAAAGTTTTGCAGCGTAGTATTTCCACAAGAAGCACTGATTTCTTACAGTAGGAAGTCAGTGCTTTTGCGGAAATTCAAGGGGCCAGTGTAGACAGCTGGCAAGTTTTTCCGGAAAAGCGGCTGATTTTCTGGAAAAACTGGCCAGTCTAGACACAGCCATGCAGTGGTTCTCCCATTGCCTATTGTAATTTCCCATTCAGGAGCTCTCCCCTTCTCACCATTGTTGGAGATGAGCCACAGCCATTCTGATTTAACTAGCACTAATATCACAGTCCCATCTCTGTATCCCTTTTCTTTCTCTCTTCAGCATATGAGGAAGTGAGTTGTAATTCACAAAAGCTTATGCTCCAATACCCTAATACATTTGTTAACCTTTATGGTGCCACCAGACTCCTTGTTGTTTTTGCTAAAACAGACTAACGTGGCTCCCCCTCCAAAACCTGTATATTTTGTCTGAGTGAATTCCTCCACAAGAAGCTCACAGATAAGAGGCAGCATGAAGGCAGGTATCAGAAATTGCTGAGTACTAATCCCATAAATTGAGTAGTGCTGTCATGTTGGGCAATTTCTGTGTCTCAGTTGCCAGCTCTCTATAATGGCACTCACTGTATTTATTGATACAGAGCTGGTGGGAGGAGTCCTCAGGCTTTGACAGAGATGTCATGTGTCATGCTAGGAATGTGCTAAGTACTATGATGACGACAACTTTTTCATTTAACAGATTGGAGCAAATCCTGCACCCAGCAGCTAGCCTGAGTATCTGAACCAGGAACAGGATATATGGGTGGAGAGGGGGTATTGGAGTGAATTTGCCCCTCTCCATGCTGCAGAACCATTTCCTAGGGTTGCTGTACCCCTGAATGGAATAGCTTAGTGCAGACTCTCAAAGGGAAATGCCAGATGGCAGTAGAAACCCTAGTCCTGCCTCTCCCTTTCCTAACCTGTGTCCCATATCTATCTGCATGTCCCATTGCCTTTGCAGAGTTGGCTCCAGTGGAACTGCATCGGTTCCTCTGCCAGGAACTCCACCCAGGCAGAGTGAGGGGAAGGATTTGTCCCGCTGTGCGTGAATGATTCCTATAGCTCAAACTTAAAAACCAACTAAAAGTTTAGTAGCACCTTAAAGACTAACAAAACACGTAGATGGTGTCATGAGCTTTCGTGGGCACAACCCACTTCTTCAGAAGACTGGAGTATTAGAAGTCCAGATCCAAGAATAAATAAGAGAAAAGGGAGGGAGGGGAAGGAGAAAAAAAGAGAGTGAGTAGATTGTTCAAGTAGTTAGAAGAACAGCTGATGTCTCTGTCCATTCCATTACCATAAGAATTAAACTTTCACAACTTAAACCCCCTCCAGCACATTATCAACAATCTACAACCTATCCTGGAAAATGACCCCTCACTCTCAGAGGCCTTGGGGGAAAGTCCAATCCTCGCCTACGGACAACCCCCTAACCTCAAACAAATTCTTTCCAGTGCAACACACCTCCTTCATAATCATCTAGGAACCTGCCCCTGCAATCAGCCCCAGTGCCAACTCTGCCTACGCAGTGATGTCATCATTGGACCCAACCGCATCTGATGATATTCAACAAGGACAAGTGCAGAACCCTGCACTTGGGACAGAAGAACCCCCAGCATTGTTACAGGCTGGGGATCTATTGGCTAAGTAGCAGTTCCGCAGAAAAGGACCTGGAGGTTACAGTGAATGAGAAGCTGGATATGAGACAACAGTGTGCCCTTGTAGCCAAGAAAACAAATGGAATATTAGGGTGCATTAGGAGGAGCATTGCCAGCAGATCTAGAGAAGAGATTATTCCCTTTTATTTGGCACTGATTAGGCCACATCTGGAATATTGTGTCCAGTTCTGGGCCCTTCACTACAGAAAGGATGTGGACAAGGCAACCAAAATGATTAGGGAGCTGGAGCACATGACCTATGAGGAGAGGCCGAGGGATTTGGGCTTATTGAGTCTGCAGAAGCGAAGAGTGAGGGGGGATTTGATAGCAGCCTTCAACTTCCTGAAGGGAGGTTCCAAAGAGGGTGGAGAGAGACTGTTCTCAGTAGTGATGGATGGCAGAACAAGAAACAATGGTCCCAAGTTACAGTGGGAGACATCTAGGTTGGATATTAGGAAAAACTATTTCACTAGGAGGGTGGGGAAGCACTGGGATGGGCTCCCTAGGGAGGCGGTGGAATCTCCATCCCTAGAAGTTTTTAAGTCTCAGCTTGACAAAGCCCTGACTGGGATGATTTAGTTGGAATTGGTCCTGCTTTGGGCAGGGGGTTGGACTCAATGGCCTCCTGAGGTCTCTTCAGGCTCATCTAGACTACGGGTAAGTTTCGAAAGTTTCGAAAGTGGAGCTTTTGAAAGTGAAAGTAGTCAAGACACGTTTTTTTCAAAAAGCTGCTTTCAAAAGTGAGATCGGAAG